AGTTTGTAAAAAAAAAAGCAATATATCCGTATTTATTTTCATTTTATCCGAACATGATATATAAAAGGTTATTTATACCAGTGTCAATAATCAAAAGAAAAACCTTGACCAGCTTTTTAGCATGTTTCCACTGGTGTTCAGACAATTTATCTTTGGTTATGAGCTCTGAATCCTTGAGATTAGAAGGCCTACTTGCCATATCCCTAATCTTTAGCTCTGTCCATAGATTTCCTATCAGATTAAAGTCAGGGCTAGGGCTGGGCCACTCCAAAACTTTAACATTATTTCTAGTGAAAAGAAATGGGTTGGTTAAACTAAACTATTACTTTGAATATGAATCTTGTATAAATCATGAATAATTTGGGGCTAAAGTGTATTTACATTGAGAGTTCGCACAAACCTGGCCCAAACTCAAACAGTAAAATACTGATGACTAAAGTGTTAAACTCCAGCTGTAACATGGTCAATTAAAAATAAAAGATTTCAATTTCAATCAGTGATTGAAAACCTTGATTTGAGAAAAAACAGACAAAAGAATTTATTAAAAGATTTTTTTTTCCACAAACTCTGCAGAACCTTGTTTTTCAATCATTGTCAGATGGTTGCTATGTGCTGTTTCAAGTGATCTTAAAAGAACATGCATTTTAGAAGTTGAGGTAGGTGCTTTTAGCTGGCAGAGCTTTACCTGCATTAGAAAGCAGTCAGAGCCTCTTCAGTCTGGAGAAACAGGGAGGATTTGTTACAGAGGAGTCAAGGAATCTGCTGCTAGCGTAAACCTTAAATCTTAGCAGTGATAGTTTACCAAAGCCATGGCCTTCTGTTAACTGCAGGTTCTTCACAGAACCCAGCATGAAAAACCTGAATATATTGCTATAAAGAAGATTTTGATTAAAGTGAAACCTGCTTAGAGAAGTTATACAACATTACTTTTGTTGTCACATTTGTATGATCACTCCTCCATTCAACACTTGCAACATGGGTAGTCATTTAAAAGCATAAGAGCAGAAGATTTGAACTGCTTTAAACATCTTCTGACTTTACAAACTATTCTTCTCCTTTAGTGCATCACTGAGACATAGTGGAATAATGTTGCAGTAACACAGCAAATGTGAATTTCCTGGCCTCTCATTCCAGGGTGATTCCCAAACACACACCGCCTCACCGTCACAACTTGCTGATTTCCTTGAAAGATCATAACAGCTGTTAAGGACTGTGGTTCGACAGCTTGATCCCCACAGAGTAACAAAGTCAGAGTGAGATGGAAACTAACTGCACAGAGGGAATCATTGTCTTTTAGGTCTTCAGTTGTAAACATATAGAAGAAGTAGAGATTTAGAGCTATGCAGTATTTATATAGTTAAGGTCAGATAATGTGATTTGGACCAGTTGGTGCTGTGGGAGATTCTTATTACAGCCTGCAGAGGAATAAACCCAACGCTGCGCCCCATCAGACATTTATCATCTCCTGCTCCAGAAAGTGTTGAGATCTTGATTAGATTTTGGTGCAAACATATGTATACAGTGTCAGGTAAAAGTGTTTACACCCCTTGACCTTTTTCATTTGTGTGTAGCCTCCGAGTCAATACCTTGTTAGAACCACTGCCATCACAGCTGCAAGAGTTTTGAGGTATGTCTCTAGCAGCTTTTCACATCAAGTGACCAAAACGTTTTGCCCATTCTTCTTCTCAAAATAGCTCATGATATGTCAGATTAGATGGAGAACATCTGTGATGTTATTTTGATGTTGGATGTACGTTTTGCTAGAAGGTGAACCTTCACTTCGGTCTCAAGTCTTTTATAGTCTCTTACACATTTTCTTCCAGGATTGCTCTAAATGTGCCTCCATCCATCTTCCCTTGTTTCCTTTTTCTTTCATTTCACACTTGTGAGCTACTTAGTGTTAGTCTGTCACATTGAATCCTAATGAAATACATTGAGGTTTCTAGCTGTAACCTGACGAAATACATTTTCAAGGCACAGTATGCATGTGCGTATACAGTTATCTTCTACAACATGCTACAAACACAGCATGTTCTAACGTTTGATATTTTTATTTTACAAACATGTTAGATCAGAAATAAGGGAAAAAAATGTTGGATTGTTCATCCCAAGTGAAACAAGAGCACCAAACGGTCCTTTTTAGCTGACATGGGAAAACTGTGGTTCTAGTAAAGAGTTTAGTTGGAGCAGGTTCATTTAGAGAGAGAAATGATGAAAAACAAACATCTGAACAGCTGTTTCTGGTGTCCTGTAAAGCAGATCCCATCACTCTTCCCTTCCTAGAGTATGTTTCTGGTATCTTTCCAGACTTTGATTATTTCTCTGGTTTTACTGCGAGCCATAGAAGGCCACCCGCATCTGCTTCTTTGACCCATTTTCATGGTGCGACAACGTAAGACAAGTGCAGCAACATTCCTAATCAGCACACATGGTTCTTACAGAGATATGGTCCCTGTTCCCATTGTGAATTTGAACAACATAGCTAAAATTCAGTCAGTATTAGGATTGGATGGGGGCCATCACAGCCACACGTATTAACATTTCACCTTAGCTAAAACGGCAGTTTCTCAATTAAATTGGCTTTCTGACTTTTATTTTGCAACTAAGTAAATTTTAGTTCAGCAAAAAAAAGAGACTGAGGAGATATTTAAATATGACAAAAGAGAAGAAAACCATCAAGTCAGAAGTAATACTTAAGTAAAATGATGATGGGGAGCAAAACATTATTCCTAGGGGAGATCAAGCCTAAGAAAGTGTAATCCAAGTTATCTACAGTCCAAGTTATAACGCTGTTATCTGTCTCAAGCAAGTTAATAACTTCCCGTCACTTACTTTGGGGGTGAAGTATGGCCTCCCTTCTTTCTGTTATCAACAGGGCACATCACTCATTCAGCCCTTGCTCTGCTCTCTCATGCAAGGTTTTCTCTGTATTTCTCTGCCTTATCTGCCTTCCACACTGTGTGCTCACTTCAAATTCCTTATCCACTGCTTTTTTGGTCAAAACCCTGCAGTGCTGCAATTCTCTTTTCACTGATTTATTTGCGTTCCTCTTAGAATTAATGACAATGTAGCTGTATAAACCAAGGTTATGTTTGTTTGAGCGCTAGAAAAGCCTAGATCCCGGGGTTATTGCCTCACTGTCGTCTACTAATGATCGATTCCCTGGAATTTGGCTATGTTCAGGCCAGGTAAAGCCAAGAGACTGGGCAGTGGATACTGGGGGTAGCAGAAAGGCAAAACAGCAGTAATGCTATTAGAGGTAAACTCACCAACAGACTGATTTGGAAAGCACCAAAAATGACACTTTTAAACTTTTAAACTTCAAGAGTTTAAGAAATTACAGCTTATTTGCAGTATATCTGAGAGTTGTTAAAAGCATTTTAAAGACCTGCTTGGATCATGGAAGTAAATAAATGGCTTACCATAGAGCTTTGGTCCTCAGCACCACTGTCCTGAATGTTTTAAAGGTTCTCTGCTGCCACACACCTGACTTAAATGAATGGGTGATAAACAGGCTTCTCCAGCACTTGGCAGGTTGAGGCGGTAAAGCAGCTATTTCAATTGGGTATCCTCGATCAGAGATGCATCCTAAGTATAAAGGACAGTGGGCCCAGAGGACCCGGGCTTCATGTACGAAGCGGGCTTAGCAACAAAAACCTTGCAGGGCAATGTTTTATGCACAACTTGGCATGTACAAAACTGAACGTTGCATGAAAGTGTGCGGAAGTGAATGTGCTTGTGTGAATAGAAAGAATTTTCATTCAATATATGGCCACCTTTTTGTGACATCTTTTTGTTGCTTTTTGTGATGCATTAGTGTCACTAATGCAATGGCTCATTTGCCTCCTCAGCTTATGATTCCATTATACTATTATACTATAAAATATTTATAATTATTATATTAGTTGCGTTGGGAACAAACCTCCATGCACGATGGCTTGCTTCTAGATAATTTTTTTTATATGAGGTCCTGAAAGGTTTGTGAAGATTTAAAACTCTTCACATAGTGTGTGTGGTGACAGTCCTCCTAATGGAAATATGGGAGGCATATTCACGTCATTACAATGATCAGCACTGAGCTGTAGATGAGCTCAGTGCTGCAGCTAGATGGCACTGTTTGGATTCGATGCAGACATTGTATAACTAAACGAGTTTGAGCCGACAAACGTTTAATTTTCAGTCAGGATTTAGTCGCTGATGTCATTCGGAACAATGTTTGCTGTAACTGACTACAAATAGCCCTAATGGTGTGTAGACACAGTCTATCTTAGCGTTTTTCCACCCAAAGAAACTGGTTTGGTTCTTTGACTGTCATAGCACTGTTGCCATGGTTATTTGGATACGTGGTATGTACCTTCCGGCTATTTATGCTACTTTGCATATTTTTTGACAGTACTGCACCATTTATTCAATTCCCACAATGTAGGTACTTAATAGTAATCTTGGAAACAGCTTTGAAACCAACATTTTACTGAATATAGCTGAAAAGAAGGGATAATTTTGAATATTGGCGGGAAAATGCTACCTTTTCTCTTAACCCCATCTTCCTTAAATTGTATGACCATGTAACCTTTCTCAAACTAACACATTTATGTTTTATATAAATATATATGATTGTCATAGGCAAATGGAGTGAAGTTTCATCTTCAAACTATATGGTCTATATGATAAAATTGGCTGCAAGAGATTGCTTAGAGTTATTTTGGTTTACTTAGGGGTCATAATCTGGCATATTTTATGAGTCAAAATTATATTTGCATTATACGGGAGATTTGATCGTTTTTATCACTAATCATATTTATAATTCATTAAAATAGTTCACTACCAAGAGAGTTGAACAGATTCACATCAGTATAATTACATGGATACGAAATGGTTCGTTTACAGCTGTGAAATGAAGGTAAGAAGGGACGAACTCTCAAAGCGTAGATATGAAATGACAGGATGAACCGGCGAAGTGGGACACACATTGATGGTCAAACTCTGTGATATGGGGTGCGGCGCTGGTGGTGTAGGGGTTAAGCATGCCACCCATATATAGAGGCTACAGTCCTCGAAGCGGGCGTCCCGGGTTCGAGTCCCGGACCTGGAGACCTTTGCGAATGTCTTCCCCCTCTCTCTGCCCCTACTTCCAGTCTGCCCACTGTTGGAAAAATTTTAAAATGAAGGATTCTAGTGCCCTTTTTTTTTAAATCTAGACAAATATATATATATATATATATATATATATAACTGTAATATTTGGTTACCATCTATTTTTTGGGTGTTTTTTATTTACATTGTGATCAGCACAGTCCTAATTCCTCAGCCCAGTTAATTCAATCATATACTTCTAAAACACATGTACACATAGCAGAAGTGTGGATGTATATTTTTAACATGAATGGAAAAAACTAGAAACTTGTAAGCTTAAAAAAAGTTAAATTTTTTCCTATATCTGAATTTAAAATAGTTTCTTGATTTCAGGTAAATTACAGCTGTTAATAACCCAGGTGTTCAGTATTTGATCAATAATCCTCTTGGTTATTTATATGACAAAACATTTGTAACTCAAAAACCTCTCTAAGAATGGCTGTATTACACAAAAAACCCAAAAAGAGTTTATCGGGCCGGGCCTGCAGTTACAGTCAAAATGCGTCTGTTGCGAGTTATTGGTCGGTAAATTGTACTCTGTAAAACATTATAATTAAATTTCACGTAAAAACCTGAAAATGCCATCTGTTAGGCTGGAACCTTGAGGTTCGCCAAGTTAAATGTCTGTGGTGTTGCTACAGGGTGTTAACCTGCTTGTGTTTCATAGGTTGTGGTGGGCTTCATGGATGTATAGTTGGGTGTTCGTGACGGTAATGAAAACCTTCTGTTGTTTTGCAGATGCCGAGAGAGAAAAGGTTTTTTTAAGTTTTTTTTTACTGTAGTGACAGACTTAAACATCTACTATTAAATCACAGGGCAGGCTGTTTCCTACAATAAGAGGACGTAAAATGGTTTCCCTTTTACACACAGTTACAAAGGAGCTGAGTCTGAAACATTACTACTGACCCATTCAAAAACAGAAACACAACAGAAGGAGCAATAATGTATATAAAATGTGTATAAAATGTCACGTTCTTGTTTTTCATCTTAGGTTCACACAAAGTTTCACTGTCGGCAAGCCCACACTCCAGGATCAGACACCTCCTGCCTCTGCTTTTCATACGATGGCATCACTCTTGCTTCACGCGGAGGTACGGAAAAGACCATACCTGCCAGAGCCGCGCAGCCAGCTGTGGCACATGATGCAGCTGCACTCACTGGCATCAGAACATGCAGCTTTCATGCCCAACTTTTAGTTAGTAAAAACAACGGATTCTAGGCAAATTAAATGATTTTCCCTTCCTCAGTAGGCAAATAAACATTAACCCACCACTCACAAAACACGGAAATCTTACAAGAGGTGTATAAACACAAAAGGCTTCTATGTAATCTCGTTAAGAGGTTGCTAACACAAACATAAACAAAAATAACTCTTCCTTCTTTCAACATGATTATGTAATGTGAATGAGGAATAACTATACATGGGAAATAAGTGCCAGTCCCATAATAATATAGCTTAAAAAAAATGAAAAGTTTGCCTTTTAAAAATGTCCCTAATGTACTCATTTTTAGGTGATGACACACTAAAGATCTGGGATATACGCAACTTCAGGAAGCCTGTAAATGAAGCTAACAGACTGACCAACTACTTCTCCATGTGAGACTTCTCAGTTTTTATAGACTGCTTGTTTTCAATTGTTGGTATGAGTGCATCGTCTGTAGATTAGATAAATATTTATATGTGTTACTTTCCCTTCCAGGACTGACTGCTGTTTTAGCCCCGATGACAGGCTTGTTGTGACAGGGACCTCCGTGAAGAAGGAGGAGGGAAATGGAAAGCTGGTTTTCTTCGACAGAGCTTCTTTTCAGAAGGTGTACGAGATAGACGTCACCAACGCGGTAAGCTCTGCCGCAGCTGTTCCACGCATCAGAGGTTTTATCTCTTAAAGCTTGGTCATAAACAAAATCATGTAAGAAAAGAAATAAGCAACTCCACCGCGACATGTTCTAAAATAACGTTCCTGGGTTTAGTTTTGTTATTTTGGTGTTAAGCTTTAAGAAATTATTATTACTCTTTCTTTCTTTCTTTCTTTCTTTCTTTCTTTCTTTCTTTCTTTCTTTCTTTCTTTCTTTCTTTCTCTCTTTCTCTCTTTCTCTCTCTCTCTCTCTCTCTCTCTCTCTCTCTCTCTCTCTCTCTCTCTCTCTCTCTCTCTCTCTCTCGTTTCTGGCTTTTGCTAAAACCAAGCCCACTGTACACATATCTACCATATATTCACAGTGAATGTTTGTATTTTAACGTGAACAAAGGTTTGAGAAGTCTGGAAAAGTAAGGACTGCATAAACAACCAGTACTAAGGAGTACAGAGAACCTTTGATTGCTATATAAATATTTTAATTCTAATTTAAGTTCTTAGTTATTTTGTAGATTTTCCTTAGAGCTACCTTATTTTTGGGGATTTGTGGAGGATGAACAGTGGTCTTGCTCCATCCCCTGCCTCTTTTATATGGGAAATGCACCTTTTGAAGCTTGTTAAAATGACAATACCGTACAGTCATAGGCCAAAAGATTTTGCCGTTACACAAATGTTTTGCAAACTTTTCTCGCAATGTTTTAATGCAGAATTAGGAGTTGCATATTGTTGCATTTCAAAGAGCATTATTTGCTTAAAAAGCACATTTTATTACTGAGCCCTTCTTCACTATGTATTGACTCTGGCACAAAATCCTCACCCAATTTAATTTTATTATAGTTGTAACATAAGCTCAGGGCAAGCTTGTGAAAGAGTCGAGCTGAAATCGGCAAAAATGTCAAGACAGCAGAATATTTCACCTGAAACTCGTCTCTCAAGAGGTTAGGGGGGTGCAGTTGCAGTGGAGATGGATTTGCAACATACAGTTGTCCAGCAACGACAGGAATGTCTCCTCCTCAGGACAACTTTAGAATTGAGAATATCTACGCACAAAGTCAGATAAAAGCATTTGTGACAGAAAGGGCAGAAGAAGGGCTACTTCTGCACAGAGGTGGGTAGAACAGCCAGAAATTGCACTCAAGTTAAAGGTAGCTTTACTTAAGTATATTTTTACTTCATTAGAAAAAAACGGATTCATTCAAATATTTCCTCAAGTAAGAGTAGAAACGTATTTGCTAAAAAGGGTACTTAAGTATTGAGTTACACTATTATCATAAAATCGGATGAAATTTGTACAAAATCAAACAGACAAAAATTCAAAGTTGTTAAAAATAAGTTTATCTCAGTGCTTTAACTTAGTCAAGTTAAAAATAAAATAAAAAATTTGTTTAAAAAAGGGTAACATCAATAAAAAATAGCAAATGCAGGAAGAATAAACAAACATTTCCAAATCTAATCTTTTCACAACACATTAAGCTTCATAAGCCAACAGTTGATTATTCTGTGTTAGAACAGTGCAAATGATTTCCAGTGGCAGTATCTACTTTTTACTGTATATTCAATTAACCTTCAAACTGTACAACAGTCTCAGGCGATAGAAAATAACACTATATCAATGACATTTGTGCACGAACAAGAAATCTCACTCTTACATAAACTGTAGACGTTTATCTGTAACTGGTGCAATTTGTGATTAAAGCATAATTTGTTCTTCATTCAGTGAAGTAACTGGAGATGGGTAGAATAGCCAGAAAATGTAGTCAACTTAAGAGTAATGTTACTTCAAAATATTGTGCAGATTAAAAAGTATGATGCTGTAAAACTACTGTTTTTCTCAAAAAGTTACTCAAGTAAATGTAACTGAGTAAATGTAGGTAGTTATTACTCCGAAAGGAAAAACCTGAAGGAAAGACTGAAATTCTGCTGGATGTACAAGGAGAGACGGCAGAAGACAAGAATTGCTCTGGGATTCTCCTTCATATTGGTTGGGACATCTGGAGGATCATTTGTGTAACAAATAAATAAATAAATAAATAAATAAAGATGAGTGCTACCATGAGTCCTGCGTTTTGCCAACAGGGAAGTGTCCTGATACAGTCCATGTGTGGGCCTGCTTCTCAAAGGAGTTGGCTTACTCACAATTTTAGCCAAGACCACTTCCAGGAATACAGAGGGGGCTCAAAAATGGGTCAATTCAGTCAAAATATGGCGATGGTCTGTATATTTTCCAGCAGGGTGGAGCATCGTGTTATCCAGCATGTCAATGCCAAATGCAAAATCACAATCAATATCTGGTGGGGTATTATATTACAGCTATTGGGCATTCATGTTCTGCATATGAGTGATTTATTTGGCCGTTTGATTTCAGTCTTACCGCCCTGCTGCATATCTCGAGAGGCTGAGATGTAGAAGCTTATGGAGAGTGGTGGGGACATTGTTTAATAGTGAAGAAAGATGAATGTCAATCATAGAGTTATTACAATTTTCAGCAAAAGTATCACAATTAAATATTGAGCAGCACCCGTCAACTTTATCAAGTGGTTTTATTTATACTTAGTATGCCATACAAACATGACAGAAATTGCAGTGCAAATGTTCCTTTGCAGCAATAATATTGAACACTTTGATTTTGCAATGATGATTGGTGATTTAATATAATGTCTAATCCCTACAGTTCTTTAGTTATAAAGCATTTATAACCCTTTCTTAGACAGAAACTATAATATGTACTTTGTTTAAAGTGCAGTTTAAAAAGGTTTGGACTTTTCATTTCGGTATACAGCGAGGAGGCTGGATTTGGTGTACTTAACTTGACTTCAGGCACACAAATACAAAGTTTAAGCCTAAAACATCTCTTGAATCCACGAGTCATTCTGCTCAATGAGGAAAAACAGTTTTTTTTCCCTTTCAGTCTTCACTTGTGTGGTAGTAACTATACATCAATCCTTATAAAATTAGTCTGAATCTGGTTGTATTTTAGTAACTAATTAAATTTTACTCCATTTTCATGTAAGAAAAAAGTAAGTCTTGCAGCATTTGGGGAGAATTTAAGGCAAAGGAGAATCTTTAAAAATGGCCAGAGGCAAACTGTGAAGAGAACGGTGGTATGTGAT